CTATTTTCACTTGCAAGAGCACATATCTACATACATAGAACCCCATTTAACAGCCGGAGACTATTAAAGAACAGTTGGCAACTCAAACTTGACTCAATATTGTGAGAAAATATTAGAATTTTTGACTTTGTGATGACTACTTTTCTGACCACATGCAGCTGTTCTGCTCCTTCAAGGACTCAGTTTTTTAAGCTGTCAGAAATACTCCAGGGCCAAAACTGCCTTCAATTAAACTCAGACAAGACAGAATGTCTACTGATCGCCTCCATGGTTACTTTGATCAGACACCAAGCTAATTAGGCAAGAAAGATGATAAAAAGGAAATTTATACACATGTATCATCACTAAATGGAATGTTGTGTCCACTTTTCATCACCCCAGTTTCAAGGTCGAGGTCAAAGCTAAAACAAGCTCTTTGCTTGTCTGGACCATAACTTCTGATCTGCTCAAGATACTTTTAAAGAAACATGATACAAATTTGTACCATCCTCAACAACATGTCACATAATATTTCAACTACAGCCCAAAAGCTCAAATGAGTTGAAAAGGAGGCTCCATGGATGCATTCCCGTCTACCTGCTAACTGTGCTTGTGTGCCTGACCACTGAGATCCTAAGATCTTCTAAGGAGATCCTGGAACTAACAAGAAACGTGGCTCGTGACAGCAGAAGGACTGGGGTTGTCCCTCGGCACCTGAAGCAGGCTGTCCGCAGCGACGAGGAGCTCAGCAGGCTACTGGAAAGAGTGGCCATCACTGTGGGAGGAGTTCTGCCCAGCATTCGGGTGGTCATGCAGCCCAGGGGAACCGAAAGGCCAGCCAAGTCTGGGTGGATGGAGAAGACGCCATCTGTGGGACGGACCTTTACAAGAGATCCTTCCTGTCCACAGCCATCATTATCTATAAAATATTTTAATGAAACGAGGATAACGAGTTACAACAACATTTAGTTTCCCTTTTGGGATTAATAAAGTATTATTGAATTGAATTTAATTGAATTAAAACCGGTTCGAGGTCAGTAAGCACAACCAGAATTAATACATAAAGCACACTGGATTATATGGCTCACTGTCAATTTTTGAGAAAATTAAAGGATTTTAAGTGTGCCTTATAGTCTGAAAAATATTGTATATTGAGGGACAAAATAGTTGCACAAATTTTTGGAATGTGTTTGACTGAAGTGCCGCTGCAGCAGGAAATAAAGAAATCTCATCAATGTTGCGAGACATTTTGGAGATTTCTACACGAACGCTAGTTGCCAGAAGAAACACGGTGAAATAGTCTGGTTTATCCTCCATCAGAGGATTAATCAATGTGGATGATCAACTATTTAACTAGCAAAAGTGATGCATCAAATCATAGTCTGAGATAAGCTTCTATAAGGATTTGTGTGTGAATACCACTTTAATAGCAAACAAAGGTTAGAATCCATTGGTATTATTTTGATCAAGAGAGCTGACATTATACTTAATTTTTACTGTAAACTACATCTCATGGCTGTTTCTGCTGCTGACCCAGTGACCTTCCTTGCTGTAGAATGGACAAATATCTCATTATGCGCAGTTCAGGGAGTCTGATTTGATAGTAATCCAGGAAGGATTACGGCTGTTCTGAATGCATAGGTTGGTCTGCTCCTTATTATGTCTGTGATAGTCAACATGTTGATGGATTTTTCTGCTACACTTCCCGGCTCCTGAGTTCTCCATTTGTTTCGCCTTCAAATAAATCCACAATGGGTTGTTTATCGAATGCTTTCACAAGTGGCATACAAAAAAAAAGGCAAAGAAAAAGAGTGGGTAAAAGCGAGATAGCAGGGAACAAGTGAAATGGGTTACGACATGCAGGTCTGCCATTTTCCGCCACAAGCTATTTATTTCATTCCATGACACAGATATCATCCTGCGGGAAACTTTGCTGTGGCAATTGTCTCAAAAAGTGAAGCGTTCTGCACCCGCGGGGTATACGAGAGGGAGGACAGAATTATACTGTTTTCCTGCACAACTAGTGAACAGCAGTAACAGCTCCCTCTGGGAGTCGGAGGTGTAAGGGAGACAAGGGGGGGGGGGGGGCTTATCTGGAACGAGAGCCCTGAACCAGTTCTAAGTCACATGCAGCTGCTTTAATGACTCACAATCAGACAGCGAGAGAGGCCAGCTCAGGATGGACTGTAATGAGAATAACAGAATTATCTCAGGACTTAGTGTTTGGCAGAGGGCTTCTCGGGGCAGTCGGAACTGCTGTGCCAGAGCTCTGACTGTGGCCCTGTTGTAAGATAATGGTGTTAATTTTGATAAGAATAAATTGAAAGAATTAAAGTAGGGGGGGATTTTTTAGGAAGCTATTAATGTAATCTCGTGTTGGATTAATTCTCGAGTGGAGCAGGAGTGCCTTGAGGGCCACAAAGTGCTCCCCCTTCTTTCTAATCTGCAGTTCAAAATGTAAAATGTAATTAAAGACACTCTGGCTGAGTAAGGGAGAAGACATCAGCGAGAGAACATCTTTAACCTGACGAGGGATTGCGGCTACGCCACAAACAACGTTATTAACATTGGATAATACACTCTGAGTGTGTTCGGACTGTTCTGAAGCCATCGTTACCACGGGGTGGAACAAAATCTCATGTCAGGAGATCCCGCAAGACTAAAATGTCACATTTGTTGAGGAATGGAAAATTGTCTCACGACTTTGTTCTTTGTTTGGTGGAATTAAGACAAAAAAAAATGTCTTCACCACTTGAAATTGTTTGTATGGCAGCATTAACGATATTAATTAAAAGATGAAGCATCTCTAATTGTCCCCATTGTTCAGAAATAAAGCCAAAATGTGAGTTTTTTTGGATGATGTCATGTTATATTTTTGTTGTGTTTAGGGACGTGGAGCTATATCCTGGATTTGAAAGTCCCAACAATATTTTTCTTTTATGTCTCAAGAAAGTCATTGAAACCAGACATATAGAGGAAAAAGAATTGTTTCAATATATAGCCGAAAAATTAGGTATATTTGAAGCAGCTCAATTTAACACCTGGAAAAAAGTTTTAAAAATACTTTTTTTTATTATTTTTTAAATTGTCCCATTGACATAGTCCCTCGCTTATCGCAAGAGTTACGTTCCAGACACCCCAGCGATAGGTGAAACTCCGCGAAGTAGGGATTTTATATTTATTTTAGTATATATATATATATATATATATATATATATATATATATATATATATATATATATAAGGCTTTGTAAACCCTTCCCACACTCTTGCAATGTTCTTTACAATGTTCTAAACTCTCTAAATGCTCTAAAAGAGCACAGCGAGAGAGAGCAGACAGACTGATGCTACAGTTACTGATCCCCAGGGGTGGACTTGCCATCGGGAACACTGGGGCATTTCCCAACAACAGGATGCACGCCCTCCTATTGTGTGTCTCTGCTCTGCTGTGACAGACAGCCTCAGAACAAGAAAGGAGGGGGATGGGGGGGTGCCTTATACCCGAGTTAGCCTCACGAGCAGCATGGATTATTTATTTAAAATAACTGAGTACGACCCAAACCGAGTCTTTAGTCCCCCTTGGCGATCAATGAGCGGGCCAGGCCACCGGGCAATGGTCCGGTGCTCCTGATGGCCAGTCCGCCCCTCAGCACAACGCTCTGGTTGCTCACCTTCCATCAATCAGCCAATCGTGTTTTGTGTACAATCTTACATTTAAAAAAAAAAAAAAACTGAAAGAGTGAGTCCACAAAAGTCGAACCGCAAAGTATTGAGGGTCTACTGTATTTACACGAAAGGGCAGGACTTAAACATTTTACTGCTGTCCGCCACTAGGGGGTACTCTTTCTTTGTGCCCCCTGGTGCCTCCTTTGTAGATACCCCCTCCCCCCCTTGTGTGATAAAAACAATTACTTTCACTCTGTCCTCTTCAGTCAGTCCTTAGTTTTCACAACTCAAGACTTTCAGATAAACTCCTCCGAAGTTTTCAAAGCTACAGAGCAACTGATCTGCCTGTTTTTCTTTTGTTTTGCTATTTCCTTTCCATAATTTTAAGTTTTGTTTTCTCTTTTGTACTTTCTTCATGTGAGTTTTGCTCGCTGTGGCAACCCCAGAAAAAGTTTAAGGTGAAATGCTTATTGCTGGTTTAAATCTCCAATTATGTTTTTTTTGTTTGTTTGTTTGTTTTTTAACAAGTTTTGATTGCGTTTGGTAAAATGATTCATTTGAAACCACCAAGAAAATTGATTAAAAAGGTGAAGAAAATACATTATTTAAAGAAATGCACATAACCAACCGCCTTTCATGACCGTTTTCATTTTAGACGACTGCTGCGCAACACTCATATCTCTAAGTTTGTGTTGAGACTGATGCTCAGCTACTACCACATAAACATTATCTCATTACCTGTAATTTTGAGTGAGTTATAGACATTTTGTTGACAGAGAGAGATAGATTAGATAACCAACTTGATTGGATACAAATGTCAGTCAGTTGTAAATGTACATCAAGTGATTACTGGTAGGTTAAAGTTTCAGTTGAAATCTGTTCATTGGTTCATGAGTTTATTTTCTGAAGGTCCAGATGAGCACAGAGATAAACACATATGCAACACTTCACTTTGAGCAGTGTGTAACAATAAATGTTAATTTTAATTGAAAAAAGATCTCGTAAATGTGTTTTGTTCTAATCGATAATTTCTATATAAATACATTAATTAAATTTAATTACGTTTTTCTGTATGAATATGTTGACACACGTAGGAAAAGTCACAAATTTTGGCTTTTGAGCAGGTTTTTATTTTTGGCCTCTCGTGAAAATGAATTGGAGCTCTTTCTAAGGTCTGAAAAGACTCACGATGCACCAGGATTAATCATAATCCATTAAATTTGTGGCAAAAGCTTTTTTCTTACAAGTATTGTTAAAATCTTGTCTTCTCCCTTAACATAAGGGTCTTGTTACTCCCCCTCATCATGACTTAATTTTGTCATTTACTGTACGCTCTGCTTTCCTTCTTTCTGCAGGGTTGCAGTTCCCCTGGATCATCTCTTAAGGCCAGCAGTGTGACGCCGGGCTCATCCACGGCAGCCCCGCCTGCTCTCAGCAAAGCTCTGTCTAAAGGAAAATGCTTCAGGTGAAAACATGACATACTCTTATTGCCATCCTGGTTTCATATCTTCCTCAGTCCACATCGAGATAGAAAAGGCAGCCAAGTGAGAACTTTAATCAGACCGCCGTATAATATAATAAATGGACTTCCAAATAATAAACAGATCATTTATTAAAGAAGAAATGTCCCAGAAGGATTTATGAGGGTTATAAATGAAAGCTACTGTGTTAATTTGTTTCTCAAACCAGTCGCCATGATGGGTTTTTTTATAGGTTTGACTGGATAAATACTAGCCTGTTAAAATAACTCGCTTTATTCACATGGTGTTTTGTTTTAAATGTGCCTTTAAATATTCTAACGGCTCACAGCTGAAAGGGAAATAATATAATGTGTTTGTAGAATTAGGAAGATATTTCATCAATCCACTGGATGGATTTTAACGAAACTCAGAAAGTAATCATTGGATGAACATCTATAATTTTGGCAGGGTCAACCCCATGGCTGTCAAAGCTCGGCAAATTTAGAAATCACAAAAATGACTTTAACTTTGTAAGTTTTACAGATATTGAGGTACAATTCAGTGTGGTGGCAGCTGTGAGCCATTCCCACCAGATACTTATAATATAACATGAGATCACACATGATCGCAATTACAAATTTAGACCAAATAGATAAACTTGGTCTGTTTTTTGTTATAGCAAGATTGTAGTTTTAAACACTCACATGTAAGGAGGTGAGTGATATGAACTTTGTGCTGGGGCTTCAGTTGTGGGAAGATTCTGAAGACATCCACCAAGGAGAAATATACGAGTGACAGTTCAACAAAAAAAATATGTCTTTCTCTCTTTGACATAGAATTCAACCAAATCCAACAAAGTTCAGGCAGGTCATATGGACGTTTTTTTTTAGACGTTTCATCCTTCATCCAAAGGACTTCATCAATCCGAGGAGCCACAAAAAAAAACTCAGTCCCACAAGCAGCACACTCCCATGGTGGACCAACCAGTTTGCTGGTGATAAGATAGATTATCTCCCCTGTCGACTCCTCTGAGGCAGCCACAGCCTAAGTGGTTCAAAACATTAAAGTTCATGCTCAATAATCCAGGTAGACAATCCAACAAAGTTCAGTCAGGTCATCTGGACGTTTTTTTTTTTTGTTTGTTTGTTTGTTTGGTGAGACATTTCATCCTTTGTCCAAAGGACTTTTTGAATCATTGAGCTTGAACTTTGTTGTTTTGAACCACTTTGGCTATGGCTGTCTGGGAGGAGTTGACAGGGGAGAGGGTGGGCTCCAGAAACCATGTTATCACCAGCAAACTGGTTGGTCCATTATGGGAGAGTGCTGCCTGTGGGACTGAGTTTGTTTGTGGCTCCTCGGACTGATGAAGTCCTTTGGATGAAGGATGAAACATCTCAACAAAAAAAGAAACCACCCAGAGGACCTGACTTAATTTTTTTTGGAGTTTCTACCTGGATTATTGATGAAAATTTCAACCAAATAAACTTTTTTGTTTTGCCTCGCAGGATGTGAGGTGGCTGTGCATTGTGATCGCAGCAGTGGTGCCATTTTAAATCCTCGGGGGGGCACAGGAATGTGGGTTTACTGGGTTGTTTGCAGGGAGAATTTTGTTTAGCTTTGATGTTATGGGTGCAGGCATGCTGACAGCTGATTATCTTCAGACAAGCAGCATTCTGAAACTCGTTCACAATTAATTTACCTCCCTTAAACATCCACAAAATGGGATTAAAGAAATCAGCGGAAACATTTTAGTAGCTGGAAAATGTCTACCTGGAGATGATCGCAATAGAGTTGAGCTGGATTGACAAAGGATAACAAAGCTGTCACTGTGGCATATAATCACAAAACATAAAGGTCAGGTTTTGCTTTCTGCACATTTGTGCAAGCCCTCATTATTGGCAGTTTTTATTGTCTTGAACTGAGGACGCAGACAACAGAAACTGCACCACGCCTGCAGAGAAGATACTGTGTGACTTTCCACAGGCGTGCTAGACAGTGATGACAACTTTAGTGAAAGTCCCACTGTGGGAGCAGTTGTGCTCTGTTTTAATGGACCAGTGCAATGGCAGAGAGGATTTTTTTTTTCTTCTTAAAAAAGGTTATGTGTAGCTGTAGAGACAGTGCCAACATCCCCTTAGCTTTTCTGTTTGTACATATTTTTTTCTTCGTTCGCCACTGCGTCGTCCAGGTGTCTCGTGAAGGGCAGCTGACAGTCAATCATCAGCTCACATGCTTCTCGGAGAATGTGGAGGCAGGGGAGAACGAGATGTTGATGGATGTTATCGAAATGCTTTCAGCTATTGACCTGAAAAACTGGACCACATCGTGTGCCATCGGGAGAAATGCCCCATAAAAACATGTCAATATGGCCCATCAATAACACGGCAAATGTTTACCTGTGTGTCGTGGGCTTATCACTGGGCAGGAGTGTGTGCAGATGGACTCACTTGTTCGAATGCAGGCAGCATCTGTTCCACTGGGATTTGGGGTAAACAATGTAAATATCACCAGAAAAAAAAAGGCTTCCTCTTTGACCATGAACACATGCCGTGTAACACAAAACTCTGGCATAAATGCATAAATAATTCTGCACTTCGCACTTTGTGATGTCGTTAAAGTGATAGTTAAGATCTTTGCCTGCCACGAAAGGAGATGTATTTTTTTTTCTGTTTGTGTGCGTTTGTCTGTAGCATCGACAAACTGTGTCACGACACTCTGGATGGGTATTAATAACATTTTCAGATAGTAATTAGTGGATGCACACATCTATGCACACATGCACTGCATGTGAATAACTATTGGGATCAACCAAAATTAATGGAAGAAGCGGGTAAAAGATAATGGATGGATCAACCAAAATCAAGATGGCTGCCATTGCCAACCCACTTAAGGAAATGGAAAAATGGCTAGAACTTAATCAGTTTTACAGATATTGGACTAAACTGATTTAATAGTTGAGCATAATCCCCAACACATTTCACCATTTTTTATTTATTTATTTTTTTTACTTTTGGATTACCTGTTCGCATCAAGCCTGTCTGTCTGTTCGCAAAATACTGTAACTAAGCAAACAGTTGGATAGATTTGGATAAAACTCTAACAAAATAATCATTGGATACACATCTACAACTGATTAACTACGTCACTTATCAGCATAAGTCAATCTTAGTTAAAATTTTGGCATGAAATGAGATGGCAAAAATAATTCCTTCAAGGAATACTATAGGTGTTTCATTTGAAATGCAGCTTTAGTGAAAGATTATGAACAATTACTACCTTACCTGTTGTAGATACCGTATTTTTCGGACTATAAGGTACACTTAAAATCCTTTTAATTTTCTCAAAAATCAACAGTGTGCCTTATGTATTAATTCTGGTTGTGGTTACTGACCTCAAACACATTTTATGTGGTACACGGCGCTCAAAAATCTGTCAACATATTTAAGTTTTGCTTGACACGCCTTATAATCCGACGCATCTTATGTATGAAAACAGACCCATTCATTGATATTGCACCTTATAATCCGGTGTGCCTTATTGTCCGAAAAATATGGTAGCTCTTTAGTAGCGAGTCTAAAAAAGACCACAAATACATTTTCTTGCTGACAAGTTAAAAGAACTTTTGTCTAATTAAAATCAAAGCAGCGCATGCAGACTATTTTATGCGCCTTTACTGTTTTAATGTGACATGCCTGTTCCAGCATTTGCGTTTGCAGATGTCCATGGAGTTTTTGTAAATAACCATTTCATGTCAAACTGATGTTTGCATGAACTGCAATAAATGTGTTTTTTTATAGATAGCCATTAGCTCATCAATCCGATCAGAAGTAATCAATACTTCCCCAAGTTTAGGTCATTCAAAGAGCTACCTACAACAAGTAAGATATTATTTGTTCACCACCTTCCCTAGAAATCCCCACTATCATTTGAATATGCTCGGATAAAATATTTACCATTAGCCTCGTTTTTAAATTAGCACAACGTTCATTTCTGAGGGTTGTTTGTCAAGAACTCGGTTATAATGGCCAAGTCATTTCTTCTGTAGAGACACTAAAGACAATATAATTCATCCGTACATGGAGTTTAAAGTCTTTACCAATGATTCTTCCATCAAACTGGTATTGAGAAGTTTTATTGCAAATCACAAATGTTGCCATTTCATCAGCATTTGGGAGACAGAATCAGTGAACTGCAGGTGTTTGATGCTTCTCATGCGAGGAACCTGCTTTATGAATTTAAATTTGCTTTTGGTAAAAGTGTGATTTGCCTTCTGCATTTCTAAGACAGAGCTTTACCCCTAAATTTAAGGAATTCAAACACTCAACACTCCTTCTTTTTGCCTTTCATGCCTGACTTTTTGACTCCTTTCTTTTGGCCATGCGGGCTCTGAGGGAACGAACCCAGTGGAGAGCAGCAGCTTGCTTGACACAGTAACAAACTGCTTTTTGTGAGGCCCAAGTCACTGGAAATAATGGATTCCAGAGTGCAGTTGTGCAGATTTGTATTGTGTTGTGAGGGGCTTGTTAGTCTGAAATTCACTCGTTTTCATCCAGTAGCAGCTACTTTAAATTCCAGTGTAAAAAAAATATGAAGAAAATAATTACTTTGACGTTCATGACTCACTCGCATCAATAACTATCGCTTTTAAAGATCATGTGTTAAATTTGTTATTGTTGCATCTTAGAGGGTACAGTAGTCCCTCGTTTATTGCGGGTGTTGTGTTCCAGACCCCACTGCAATAAGTGACAATCCGCAAAGTAGTGATGTTATATTGGCTTTAGTATTTATATATATTTTAAGGCTTTATAAACCCTTCCCACGCTTGTGCAATGTTCTAAACTCGTAAAACTATGAAATTTTAACAACAAACATACGGTACTGTATATGTAGCTACTAAATTTTACTTACCAGGCTCTGCAGAACAGCAGTGGCTCGGTTCCTGTCCGAACCGAGAGATGAAAAAAGTATTGGTGGCCTCCAGATGGAGCGCCGGACTTACAGCGGC